GGGAGACTCCATCTGCTGAAGAAGATCATGTGATATGATTGAAAGCTCCACAACAGTTAGTGGATGGATGTTGTACAGAGATTGTCTGGGTATTTCCAACGTCAACCAATAACTTTCAGTCTCAATGGATTTTTGGGGTATTTTAGTTGCATATGAAAGAAAATGTGTTTTTTTATGTTGATATATTTATATCACGTAGGTCACTTTTGTCTTGTTATGTCTCCAGTTAATCTTTTTTTATTGATTTATTTTAATACAACTTGAGGGATGTACAGGTTTCGTTTGGTCCATCTTTGATTATGAAGGTTTCTGATGTTAGTCTTTATACTCTTTGTTAATTGGATGTAGTTGAAATATCTGTGATCCAGAATTAAACAGAGGTCAAAGGTCATGACCAAGACAGCTCTCATTAACTCTTTCATTGGCTTCTCTAAGTAAATGTGAGGGAGAACGTAATTTGATTTCCTGCAAGATTATTTTTTGTCACTGAACTTGTTTTAGTACATGTTCACTGGTGCGTGTGTGTGTGTGTGTGTGTGTGTGTGTGTGTGTGTGTGTGTGTGTGTGTGTGTGTCCTCAGTGAAGTGTATCAGTCTCTGCAGTAGCTTCCAGCTGCAGCAGTCAGTTCAGTTTCTGTTCAGTCTGACTGAGGGAGGTTTTTGTACGACGCTTTTCACTGTGTGAACACATACTGACTGTTGATAATGAATTCACCCATACAGTAGTAAACTGCTGCATCTTCAGTCTGGACTCCACTGATGGTCAGACTGAAGTCAGTGTTTGACCCGCTGCCTGTAAAACGACCTGGAATCCCTGATGCTCGCCTGTTAGTATAGTAAATGAGGAGTTTAGGAGTTTCTCCATCTCTCTGTTGGTACCAGGATAGGTCCTCTCCATCATCTACTCTATGGCTGGTCCTACATGTGATGGTGACGGAGCGTCCCAGAGCAGAGCTCACTGCTCCAGACTGAGTCACTGTGTACTGGCCTCTTGACTCTGAGGATACAGAGACAAAAACATAAAGCAGCGTCATGGTTTTGTGGGCTTCATTTCAGAGGGACGGATGTTCATAGAGGAGAGGAGTTTGATTCTCTGGACTTTACCTGTGAAGCAGCAGCAGAGGAGAGTCCAGATGAGGACGGAGATCAAAGTCATGTTTTTGATGAGGAGGATTTCTGTGTCTTCTGTTGTCATGAAGGACAGCTGTCAGTCATCCAGTGTTCAACTCTCAGGACTATAAACTCTCCCAGAGCACTGGAGCATGGTGCTGCTGATGCAAAGTGGCTCTCTATGGAAATGCTCTGACTGACTCCAACAGGGACTTGGATTCCTCTCATGATGCTGTTTATCAATGGATCAATCACTTTAATGGATTGCTGATTCAGAAATACACAACAACTAGTTCATATAATTTTGGTTCTATTCTAATGCATATATTTTCTTTACATTTCAAATTTAATTAGAAACATGTATTTTATATAGGAGACAGTCCATCACCACCAGCACTGTGCAGCAGTGGTCGGTGGAGGCAGAGGAGGCCTTGATGGACTGTTACAGGGGGGGTGAGGAGCATTACTGGCATGAAAAGGTCAGTAGGTTCAGTAGAGGGGACAAAGGGATGTGCCAACGAGTTAAACCTGTATTTCAACATGTTTGATTCACAAACGCCCCCCACCTCCTCAGGTACCCTTATTCACACCTTGGCTACCCCACCCTCCTCCACAGCCCGTCTCTCCCTTCTTTACCCAGACGACAGCCCTTTCCCCCCTTAACCCCCCTCCACTTCCTCCCTCCCCGATCCCTTTCCATATTTCCACCCCCCATTTTACTTGCATATTGCATATAGTGTATATGCTTTTCATTTATAGTCTATTATTTCTGCTATATTTTATAAAATTCCTATTTTGCGATTCTTATTGTACTTCTGTACTCGTTGCACTACATTGGCCTATGCTGCTGTGTCTAACTTGAATTTCTTCTACAGGAGATCAATAAAGGTACATCTTATCTTTTCTTATCTTATGTTAACAAATATATAAATAAATCTCGGAAGTTTCTGGTAATTTTTATTGTTCTGACAAGGTTTTACAAACAGAATAATTTTGTTGACTTTGTTTGTGTCAAAGTCAGAGAGCCGTGTCTCTCTACAGTGAGAGGTTTTTGTACGGCGGCTCAATGAGTTTGTATCACTGTGGTACACGTTCGGTGGAGGAACCAGACTGGATGTTGGAAGTAAGTCAAATCTTTAATTTTTTTATCATTTCAGGACATATTTGTCTTTTTATATATATTTCAGGAAGAATTCTTGATTTTTCATATTAATGTATATCTTCTGCAGAAATACTTTACACTCAGAGACAAACTTTGCATCAGGAATATAAATTCAAAACCTAATTGAAGTGAATTTAAAATATCAAGACAGAATATGAATCAGTATTTCCAACTTTAATGGAAAAGCTTCATCTTGAGGGTTTGTAGGTTTAGTTCAGTGTGTCAAAGTCAGAGAGCCGTGTCTCTCTACAGTGAGAGGTTTTTGTACGGCGGCTCAATGAGTTTGTATCACTGTGGTGGACTTTTGGTGGAGGAACCAGACTGGATGTTGGAAGTAAGTTTCTGCATTGATATTAAATATTAGAACATTGTAAAGTAATGTTTTATATTCAGTATTGGTTGCTTGAGGCTGATAAATATATCTTGTTTTAATTTTAATACAGATTTCTGTATCCTCCTTTTTGACGGAGGCTAACTCAGAGCAGCTTTTCTAAACATTTCTTTACACATTCCTGACCAACTGAAATTCAAACAGCGCAAAGTGTAGGAAAAAAAATTTGCTAACCGTTTTATAAATGTCTTCACACATGCGCGTTTATTTGTCCACATTCGTAATAGCTGTTTTTGAATGAGTTGAGATTAAGCTATTAAAATAAAATTGTACAGAGTGAAGATGAAGCTTGGTATTCGAAAACCTTCAAAATCTCTTCATTGTGTCACAGATTGCTTCAAGTTTAAAATCTGTTGAAACGTTTGGTAATGATGATTGAAATCCACATGAAGAACATTTCATTGTAGTCAGTTCATTTTCTGTGTTTGTTCATGTTTCCACTAAATACTTTAAAGTAATGTATAGTTCAGGTTTTGGATGATTTTGATGATACAGTTTTGGATATTTTATTTCCAGTGTAGTTTGATATATTTCAGCTCATTCTGTATGATGATTCTCTCTGTGCTGATATGCATGAGAGGCTTCTTAAAGGGAAGTGAAACAATGTGTGAGTGAGTGACTGGTGGAGCAGAAAAACCATCTGACAGAAACTCCTTAAAGGAGAAAATCAACTCTCACACAGTAAAGGTGTCCAAGTGTCTGCTGCTTGATTGACAGCTGTGTGGTCCCTGTCCCTCTAAGCTGATTGGTGTCTCCTAGGTGATGTCCGTCCCACCCTGACGGTGCTGCCCCCTCCAGTGAGGAGCTGCAGCAGGGGAAGGCCACGCTCATGTGTCTGGCCAACAAGGGCTTCCCCTCAGACTGGAGTCTATCCTGGAAGGTGGACGGCAGCAGCAGCAGCAGCAGCAGCTGGGAGGAGAGCAGGAGCCCCGGGGTGCTGAAGGACGGCCACTACAGCTGGAGCAGCACCCTGAGGCTCTCTGCAGACCACTGGAGGAAGGTGGGCTCTGTGACCTGTGAGGCCACCCAGGGCTCCCAGACTCCGCTCTCAGAGACACTGAGGAGAGACCAGTGTTCCCAGTTCTGACCTGACTCACTGGGACTCTGATACTGGTTTTACTCTGCTCTCAGTCTGCACTCTGCAACTCTGTCTCTCTCTGTCTTTTCCTCACTCACTCTATAAATATGTGTGTCATCGATGATGTTTTTCTGTTTGTAATTTCAATTATTTCATCACAATAAAGACCAGCTCATCGAATCAGTCGTTTCATTTTTGTTATTGTAAAATTAACAGACGTTACTGTCATTGTAGTTCCATTTAATCCCAAGTGTTTTATGGATTATTTGTAAAATCAGATGAATAACTAAAAGAAGGGAAGATGATAGTTTTGTAATGTATAATAGGATATTAATGGCATACAAAGTAATTTTTTGTTGGTGTTAATGAACAGTTGTGTGAGATGCTGATAGATTTTCTGACAAACACAGACAGGGTTTAATGTAAGAATGGAAAGAATAGTGGATTAAAAGGATATAAATGTGTAGTCAACATTGAAATTAAATTCATATTGTAATATTTATTTACACGTGTTATCAGTCCATCAGTCAATATAACTTTATTTATCTTTGAGAGGGTAATTTAAGGCAGCAGCTCACTGTTGCTGATGTTATTTCTGATGTGTCTAAATTCAACAAATCAAGTCTGAAATATTGTCATCTCACCACTTCGCTAAACTGTGAAGAGCAGAGCTGTGGTCCTGTCCTGAACCCTGAAGCAGAGACAGCAGAGCAGTATCATCTGAGAATCTGATAAAGTAGCTGCCCTCCTCACAGCTTCTGCAGCTGTCGGTGCTAAAGGTAAAAGGGAGAAGACACAGCCTTCAGGTGAGCCAGTACTGTGGCCACTTACTTAGTGATCTTTTCAGAAATCTTCATAACAAGTGATATGAGGACAACTGTACTCCTGAACTTGTTTATGATCAGTTATCTCAGGAACTGGAACCACATGAGAGGATTTCTATATTCTGGGGATATGATTTGAGTCGACTGAATTTTATAAAAGTTAAGTTAAATATATTTTCTGTGTGTGTTTGTGTCTGTGTGTCTCTCTCTTGAATTGAATTGAAGTGATATGATTGAAAGCTCCACAACAGTTAGTGGATGGATGTTGTACAGAGATTGTCTGGGTATTTCCAACGTCAACCAATAACTTTCAGTCTCAATGTCTTTGTGTGGTATTTTAGTTGCATATAAAAGAAAATGTGTTTTTTTATGTTGATATATTTATATCACGTAGGTCACTTTTGTCTTGTTATGTCTCCAGTTAATCTTCTGGTGTGTGTGTGTGTATGTATATGTGTGTGTGTGTGTGTGTGTGTGTGTGTGTGTGTGTGTGTGTGTGTGTGTGTGTGTGTGTGTGTGTGTCCTCAGTGAAGTGTATCAGTCTCTGCAGTAGCTTCCAGCTGCAGCAGTCAGTTCAGTTTCTGTTCAGTCTGACTGAGGGAGGTTTTTGTACGACGCTTTTTCACTGTGTGAACAACCACTGACTGTTGATGTAATGTTCACTCTGACAGTAGTAAACTGCTGCATCTTCAGTCTGGACTCCACTGATGGTCAGAGTGAAGTCAGAGTTTGATCCACTGCCTGTAAAACGACCTGGAATCCCTGATGCTCGAGTGCTAGTTGTATAAATGAGGAGTTTAGGAGTTTCTCCATCTCTCTGTTGGTACCAGTGTAAATAGCTCCCACCATGAACATCCTGACTGGTCCTACATGTGATGGTGACGGAGCGTCCCAGAGCAGAGCTCACTGCTCCAGACTGAGTCACTGTGACCTGGCCTCTGGACTCTGAGGATACAGAGACAAAAACATAAAGCAGCGTCATGGTTTTGTGGGCTTCATTTCAGAGGGACGGATGTTCATAGAGGAGAGGAGTTTGATTCTCTGGACTTTACCTGTGAAGCAGCAGCAGAGGAGAGTCCAGATGAGGACGGAGATCAAAGTCATGTTTTTGATGAGGAGGATTTCTGTGTCTTCTGTTGTCATGAAGGACAGCTGTCAGTCATCCAGTGTTCAACTCTCAGGACTATAAACTCTCCCAGAGCACTGGAGCATGGTGCTGCTGATGCAAAGTGGCTCTCTATGGAAATGCTCTGACTGACTCCAACAGGGACTTGGATTCCTCTCATGATGCTGTTTATCAATGGATCAATAACTTTATCAGAGTATTGAGTAGGAATGTGTCAGTGCTCATTTGTATGAGGCTTTCCATTGAGTTTATAAGTTTCTGCAGCTGCAGCAAAGGGAAGAATATTATTATTTAAACAGAAGTCTCATTCTATTGTACATCTACAATTATTTAATTAACATTAAAGCATAATGAGGGATATTTTGTATTTGGCTGTGTTCATTTTATTGAACAATTCTGACATAATGGTATAATAATGCAGGATGGATTAATGTGGGAAAATACACAGGATGTGTGTAAAATGACCTTTGAATAAATATAGGACGGTCTGAATGACAGCAATATAAAGGGATATGACATAGAGGGAATCATTTGCTTTAATTTTATTTTAAAAAACATTCATATTTAGTGATTTGCAAATCCTCAACCTCAACAGCAAAATAAAATAAAATGATTAAATTCTTTGAATTTGTTAAAATGAAAAAGACAATTAGTATACTTAATTAAGTGATCAGGATCAGAAAAGTAATTGAGTATGAATTTAGTGTTTCAGCTCAACACTGGACATGTTTATTAGATTTATCAGAAGAAGAATCTCACAAAACCCTGAGAAAATAATTTTAAGTTAAAAACAACTAACTAACTAACTAAACTAACCCTAACCTGTGGTGGAAATTCAATTCAGCCCATTCGTGTGAGATGCAACAATTAAAAATCAGTCAGTCAGTCAGTCAGTCAGTCTTTTCACCCGGGTGTAGCTCTGCGCAGAGCGAGCCTCTCAGCTTGTCAGCATGAAAAGGTCCCCCTTCTCAGGGCTGCACCCTTATTTATTGAAGAAGCAAAAACAGGAGGTACAAAGTAGATAGCAGCTAGTCATGCTAACGAGCATCATGACCTTGTATTCATAGGAGATTCTTGGAGCCAGTCTCCACCGTGTTCAGCCTCTCCTCCCTCAATAACAGAGACATTGTAACCACAGGTTGACTGTTAGTCTTTATCATGTGGGAAAATTAACAGATGCTGAGAGCAACCTTGGAACAGATATACATTTTGCACACACAGTAGTTCATAAGCATGAGGTTACATATAGTGTATTATAGTGTATTAAAATTTTCCATTACAAACCCTAACCCTTTATTTATTAATTAAAGCCTGAACTGATAATAAAGTAGACATTCATTTTCATTCAGAGATATTAAAATTACTTGGGACCTTGAGGCCATTACCAGAGGAGTGATGGTGGTTTGGTCTTAGGATGGGCCTGGTGCAGAGGTTTCCAACCTGTGGGTTGAGACCCCACTAGGTGTCGCCAAAGTTTCATGTGAGTCCTTGATTTTATGCACAGTAGTGATGCACAGTAAGCCTATATGTCAGCACTTTGTTCATTTCTGTGAAGAAAACGTAATGATTCTTACTGTATAATTGTTATTTTTTAAGTTTAGATTATTATTTAAGATCTAAACTTATTATTAATTAGGATTTTCACACAAGTCATATTCACAGAGGTTTAACTCTCTGATAAGCGTCTTCATCCTGCATTAGAAAAGTACTCAGTTCAAAAAACCAAAGAGCTCATAGAACAACGGACGAGCTTCAAGACAACAATCTACTTGTCTGAAAAAAAAGGATTTAAGGAATTTATGACTGTTATAAACATATTCACCGACTAGCCATAACACTGTGAGCACTGACAGGTGGAGTGAATTACACTGATTATCTGGTTATCATGGCTCCTGTCAGTGGGGGGATATATTAGGCAGCAAGTGAACATTTTGTCCTCAAGTTGATGTGTTAGAAGCAGGAAAAATGTGCAGTGTGAGGATCTGAGAGACCTTGACAAGGGCCACATTGTGATGGCTATACGACTGGGTCAGAGCATTTCCAAACCTGCAGCTCTTGTGGGGTGTTCCCGGTCTGCAGAGGTCAGTACCCTATCTAAAGTGCTCCAAGGAAGGGAAAGCTGTGAACCTGAGACAGGATCATGGCTCATTTGGTGGCAAAAGGGGGACCTACATAATATTGGGCAGGTGGTCATAATGCTATGGCTGATCTGTCAAAATTCATCCAAATTTCTAAACAAACAACAGTTGCTCTGTACTGTTACTGTTATACATTGAATATAGTATGAAATATTCATAAAATAATGTCAGTTTACTCAATGACAGAAAACGGGTCCCTAAAGGAAAAAGGTTGGGAAACCTTGGCCTAGTGTAAGATGTCACTTAGTGCACCCAAAGTGCTCAGAACCGGCCCCGTCTGTGAAAATTTCATTCACCTTATTTGTATCAGTTTTACAAATCTCAGTAAAATTTTAATGCCAGGAGAATTAAAACATGACTGCTGCATTTTATATCAAGTAAACTCCTAAATAATAATATTGATTCCCCCCAATAATCTGTTGTTACATCTGTAATTACCTCAATGAAGGTAGGAAGTGTTATTCACCCTTCTTAATATTCTACTAAGTGAAACAATGTGTGAGTGAGTGACTGCTGGAGCAGAAAAACCATCTGACAGAAACTCCTTAAAGGAGAAAATCAACTCTCACACAGTAAAGGTGTCCAAGTGTCTGCTGCTTGATTGACAGCTGTGTGGTCCCTGTCCTCTAAGCTGATTGGTGTCTCCTAGGTGATGTCCGTCCCACCCTGACGGTGCTGCCCCCTCCAGTGAGGAGCTGCAGCAGGGGAAGGCCACGCTCATGTGCCTGGCCAACAAGGGCTTCCCCTCAGACTGGAGTCTGTCCTGGAAGGTGGACGGCAGCAGCAGCAGCAGCAGCATCAGCTGGGAGGAGAGCAGGAGCCCCGGGGTGCTGAAGGACGGCCACTACAGCTGGAGCAGCACCCTGAGGCTCTCTGCAGACCACTGGGGGAAGGTGGGCTCTGTGACCTGTGAGGCCACCCAGGGCTCCCAGACTCCGCTCTCAGAGACACTGAGGAGAGACCAGTGTTCCCAGTTCTGACCTGACTCACTGGGACTCTGATAATGGTTTTACTCTGCTACTGCTCTCAGTCTGCACTCTCTCATTATCTGTCTAAATCCTTCTTTACCTTCTCTCACTCTCTGATTACATGTTTCATTGATGAAAATTGTTATTTTGATTATCTCAACATCATAAAAACAAGTTCATCAACTGAGTTGTTGTCATGTATGTTACTGTAAACTGATGTTTGTGACTTAATAGTTCCATTAAATCAGAAATATTGAACAAAAATTGAGATTAAGATCTAAAAATATGAGGTAATGTCTTAAGAAATGATTCCAACATAGAAAATAATTTTAACATCTCTCCTCAATCTTTAGAAGTAATAAAAGCAATCATTCATCAGTGCTTATTGCAACACAACATCAGTCAAAGTGAATTAATCATTTTCTCAAGATTCCTTCAAGCGTTTGTGATGACATGAACTTCTTCATTACACAAATCATGAATTTATTTTTGGTAACAAAGCTGATCAATAAAGTATCTTTAGGATCATTAGATATATTGTATGCATCATATAAAAATAAATAAAAATAAAGTGTTCCACTGATATGTGTTATGTTAAAATAGATTCAGGAGTGCCCAGATAGTAAACTGAATCTGAGTAAACTACAAAATCTAATAAGAAATCATTTGAATTATAAAATAGGATATTATTGTCATATTATGTAAGATTAGTATCAGTATCTGCAGTTTGTTGGCAAAATATAACATAACTTATGTGTGGGTGTGTGTGTGTGTGTGTGTGTGTGTGTCCTCAGTGAAGTGTATCAGTCTCTGCAGTAGCTTCCAGCTGCAGCAGTCAGTTCAGTTTCTGTTCAGTCTGACTGAGGGAGGTTTTTGTACTACGCTTTTTCACTGTGTGAACAACCACTGACTGTTGATGTAATGAAAACTCTGACAGTAGTAAACTGCTGCATCTTCAGTCTGGACTCCACTGATGGTCAGAGTGAAGTCAGAGTTTGATCCACTGCCTGTAAAACGACCTGGAGTCCCTGATGCTCGAGTGCTAGCAGCATAAATGAGCAGTTTAGGAGTTTCTCCATCTCTCTGTTGGTACCAGGCTAAATAGTGGTTGCCCCCACTAGTATAGACAGTATAGACAG